TAATATAATTGTAAATGCTATTCATATCTGAACATACATATATTTTTTTGTAAGTACATCAAATAGATATAATAAATAAGAGATTAATATTAAAAATGTTTGTTTAAATATTATTTATTATAAAATATATAATATCTTGTTATATAATATACAATTATAAATATTTCATCTTATTTTAATTATTAAAATTTAAATTTTCTTAACATTCTATTCATAATATAGAGAAAATATAAATATTACATGTTTATATGTTTTAAAATTGAAAACTTAACATAGGACGGAGTCCTCAAACTGATCTTTGGGCTATTATATAAAGTATTAATGTTTAATTGATATTGTTATTTAGAAATCTCCCATGGCTGCTATAATATTATATAATGCTGTTCTTGCATCATTTTTTTCAAATACACTTAAAACTTCCATTGCTTTTTGTGAATGTCTTTTTTGTAATTGTTTTGTCAATTCAATTCCAGGACCATTCATAACAATTTTATGAATCTACATATTACATTTTCAAAATTATTAACTTCATAAATAAAAAAATTACTATAAATATTTATATTTAATATGCTTACCTTAGCATAATCTACATTATTTACACATTCCAAACCTTTATCAATTTCCATCAAAATTGATGGATCATGTTCAATATGAAACATAATTGGTGCAGAACATAGATTAAATGTTATATTTTGATCTTTTGTACTGAATGAGCCTAAATCTAAACAAGCTTGCCAAGCCAATGCTAAATGTTTTCCAAAATTGTAACCTTGTTCTTGCATTTCATTGCTATGTCCTGCTAATTTTAATGTACCTTTACAAGATTTTCCTAGTAAAGCACCAGCACTTAAAACATTTCTAAGAGTCCATTCCTTTACTGCATAATCTTTACGATTTTCAGGTGGTATAGAAGGTAAAGGATTATTTTGATTATCTCTGCGGCCTACAAATTCTGCCTCTGCTAAATCTCTTACAGCACTTGACATTAATTCTACAATCTAAATATAATATATAATGTATATATAAATTATATATAAATATAAATATAATATAATATAATAATACATATAATAATATATAATAAAAATAAATTTGTATAGATCAAAATATAATTTAAAATTTTTATACTTACATCTTGATTGCGAAGATTTGCTAATTCAGCACAAGAGTTTGCTAATAAATAATCTCCACTTAACAATGCAATTTTATTACCAAAATTCATGTCATTTAACTCAGATGTTTCTAAATAAACATCAGATCCTATATTTACTAATCCTTTATGAACAAGATGACTAGTACGTATCATTTCAGTTACTTCTGCTAAAGCTCGTTGACTAAGTCATAATTTATTTAAAATTATTTTTATTTCAAATTTATAATTTGATATTTTATAATTTTATATAATACCTATGAAGAACACCTGCTGCTTTATCTTCTTCTATATCATCTACACCTAAATGACCAGCAGCTTTTGAAATTAATAATACAATAAGACCCCATGCTTGCATGTTATTACGTCCATTATAAATGATGCTTCTATAATAAATTAAGATAAATGTTAATATATAAAAATTAATTTTATTATTTATAAAAAATATATTTAAAAAATACTTACTTAGCTGTTTTTAACAAAGGATGATTAGATCCTACTAACTTCCTTAAATGTAAAGCTACATTTGCTATTTCATCACTTAAAAGCCATCGTAAACTTAAAAATGATGTTGGGTATCCAACAATTTTTTCTGCTTCTGAAACAGCTTTATTCCAATCTGGCTTTTGATTTCCTGTAAGTTTTGCTTCAACTTTATTCAATTTATGTAAATGGAATTTATTTTGTACAGAAATATGCATATTTTTTTGTTTTTCACAATATACATTATGATCATTGCATAAAATGGCTCTAGTTATATTTCCATTTCTCAATAAAGTAAATACAATTTTATTCGTAAACATTTTTGTATTGCACACACCCAAAAAATTTGTTTCTTCTCAACATCAGTTTTGCATTCAACAGGTATAAAGTACATGGTTAACGTCACAAGCTTTCACTTTTGACCTTATTCTCGAAGGATATAATACATCTTCTAGTCCAAAAATTATTCATTTTTTATTATGGAAAATCACTAAAAACAATATACTTTAATGTATTTGCTTAATATCTTTACATATACTATAATAAATTTTGCAATATTCATTAATTTAAATAATTTTTTAAAAGAAATTAAACTATAAAATTATAATACAATCATAATCTATATTATGTTCACTGAATTGAAGTTACTAGACATAAAGAATATCATATAAAATTTATTATGTTATTAAAATATTCAACAATCAGCATTGTCTTCATAATTTTGATAAATGAAATAAAAAACTATTCTTTTGCATATTAATTTATTTGAAATTATTTGATATTCATACAAATAATATAATAATGAAAATAAAAATTCATAAATATAAACTATTTTTATGAAAATAAATAATATGATAAAAATTGATGTCAACAAATAATTATATATTTTATATAATAATTTATATAATTTTAATATTAACATTTTATGCATTTATAAAAAAGTAATTATTATATGAAATTTAAGTTTATATAAAATTATATTTTAAAAATTCGTATATCAAATAGAAATATAATTATATATAAAATTTTATATATAGTTCCATATAAATATAATATGTTTTTGTATAACTTTTTTTAGATAAACATTAAAGTTATTAAAGTTATTAAAATTA